ATTGTTTTGGAGTAATTGTTTCTTGGAGCTAACCCCTTCGTTGGCTACTATGGGGAAGTCTAGAGCCAAGGGAAAGCCCGGACGATCTAAGAAAAGGAAAAGAACGTTCTATGGAGTGTCTCAGGCGCCGAAGGCTCCCTCTGGTGAAATTTCGCCTGCAAAACAAATTCCTGACTTGCCACTGTCTGATGACGACCTTGAAGTGTCAGCTGAAGCCACGTCTTCAAACAGCGATAGTGATGGAAGTGGCGGTGAAGTCGACAGCAGTTCCTCCGACAGTGACTTGGATGAAGAGTGTGAGGAAGGGGCGCATGGATTTCGCCTGATTGATCTCGAGTGCCTTCAGCAGCTTTTGTCAGCTGCAGTTTGTTGCAGTGGCTGTAATGGCGCAGTCACGATCAGCGAATCGCAACGGGGAGGCCTTGCATCATGCCTGGAGCTTTCCTGTGTTAACTGCGGCGACATAGCAAGCGAATTTATGTCCAAGAAGTTCAATCGGGTCTGGGAGGTGAACAGACGAGCAGTATTCGGAATGCGACTGATTGGCCGTGGACGTCAATCAATGGTAAAGCTGGCGGGTGCACTGAATATGCCGTCACCTATGAGTCGGTCGACATTTTACAGCCATGCTAAAGGCCTGCATTCCGCGTCCAAGAGCGTCGCTGAGCGTAGCATGACTGAGGCAGCTGAGAAAGCAGTGTCCGCAGCAGATGGGGGTAGCGATATCGCTGCTTCCTATGACGGTACCTGGATGCGCCGAGGATTCGCATCGCTCTTCGGAGCCTTCACTATAATTGCATATGATGTCGGCAAAGTGGTGGACTGCGAAGTGCTTTCAAAGTTTTGCCACAAGTGCACGCACTTGGCGTCTAGAAAAGAGAAGGGAGAGCTAACCAAAGATGACTATGATCGACAGATTGCCGAACACGATTGCTCTGTCAACACCACTGTATCAGCTCCTGCCATGGAGAGTGCAGCCGCCAAGACTCTGTGGGCCAGGTCCTTTGAGAGCCGCAAGCTGAGGTACACCACCTACATTGGTGATGGAGATACCAAGAGTTTTAAGGCTGTGCGTGACGCTTGTCCGTATGGGCCCGAGGTGCCTGTAGTCAAGGAGGAATGTGTTGGCCACGTTCAAAAACGCATCGGTACCAGCCTAAGAAAGCTGAAGAAAAACCTTGCGGGCAAGAAGCTTGCTGATGGGCGCACTATAGGCGGACGTGGTCGCCTCACGGATGCCATGATCGACAAGCTGCAAGCCTACTATGGCATGGCTGTGCGGAACAACAGCGGAGACTTGCAAGCCATGGCCAGGGCCATATGGGCATCCCTCATGCATCGTGCATCCAGCGACAGTAAACCTCAGCACCAGTATTGTCCGCCTGGAATTAACAGCTGGTGTAGATGGCAGCAGCAACAGGCAGGTGGTGATGTCTACGCCCACCACAATATCCTGCCAGAGGCAGTATGGAAGGAACTGAAGCCGGTCTACATTCGGTTGTCCGACCGGAGTTTGCTCGAGCGCTGCCAGAAGGGTGCTACGCAGAATCGCAACGAAGCGTTCAATGGACTCGTGTGGCAGTTGTGTCCAAAGACAGGCTTTGCATCCGCTCCCACTGTCCAGATGTGCGTCTACCTGGCCGTGGCCTGGTTCAATGATGGAGGTGTGGCAGTGAAACGCGTTCTGGACGAGATGGGCCTCCCTACTGGACACCATACGACACGTCTCATCAAGCTGCTAGACCGTGAGAGACAGGCACATGCTGCCAGAAAGAAGTCAGAAGAAGGGAAGAGGTCACGAAAGAAGCGAAGGAGGATCAGGAAAGGCATCCAGGATGAGCAGCAAGAGGAAGAAGGTTTGACATATGAAGCTGGTGGCTTCGACTAAGTTCTAGTAAGTTCTAGTTGGACAGACATACCTCCATCTGTACTTGCACAGAGCACTTTTTTTCTCCATTTTCCACTGAGTCCCGTACCTCTTAGACAGCGTAGCGAAGAACCTGTAAGTCACAGACCCCATAAACCATACATTTTTGGAAACTGTGAGCATTTATCAAGGTGCTAAGTGTCATGGATTTTTATATTTGTCTAGTAGCTTTGAGTAAAGTGCTACTGATCGAGGACCTAAATTTTGCGCGATTGCATGATTTTTGTTTGACAGCTTGAGTACTTTGTTCTGAATATGATTTCAAAATTCCGCTCCACTTAGCACCTAGGTATATGTGAAGGAAATCCTGTGGAGCACTCAGTTTCTACCCAGCTTCTTTCTGCGTTTGCATATTGCGTCTAAGGTATTGGTGGTACGGCATAATCGCAGATTTGACTATTGTGTCTGCGGATTCCCATGTGTGAGCTTGATTTATACTTCATTGGACTTAGTGAAATACACTGGGTATGTGGTCAAGATTTGAGCAAAATTCATCAATTATTATGGAAGTTACGGCTGTGTTCATGCGGTCGGGCCGCGAACCCAGACTGCCACCTTAATGATATGGATAAAAAAAAGTTGTGTTTGTGTTCTTTTACTATAATTTTCTGCATTTTCTGGAGTTAAGATTAAGAGGTGCCCAAATTCGCTCTATTTCACGTAAATTTTAAATATTTCTCCCGGGGGACGTCCCCCGGCCCCCCTCAAAGGTTGGCCGGACCACTCCAAAACTCCTTCCTCCGACCCTGTTGAGGCTGCGCCATCTGAACAGGTAAATGCACGGGTTGAACTGAACACTACGAATATACACACTATTATAGTTTACCGCTGCCACCAATGTAGTAGCTGGCCCTCGGAGACAATTTCACACACTCAAACAAAGCACTCACTTTGTGGTTTCACGAATACTCGTTAGGACAGAATTATTAGTTACACACTCGGCAAGTAAAGATAGGAAGTGAAAAGAGCACAAGAAAAGAACAATGCAAGAAGACAAAACACGCGGCGAACGGCAGCCATGTTTTTAGGTCATCAACCAATCAGTAATTTATATAAACCGGTTGCCGACGAAATTCTAGAATATTCCAGAGCTGTGAACTGTGATTGGTTAATTATGCCAATGTTCTAGAACAATAACACTAGCAGCAGTCATACGGGTAAATACGGGTTTAGCCATACACGACTCATACATTACTCACGAGCGACTCACGGAAAGGGTAATAACATGCAGATACAAAATACGCAAGGACAGAAAAAATGTAACTAACTGCCCATCTTGGGGTTTGAACCCAGGAATCTGTATCAACACAAGCTCTACAAATAAAATTTAATACTCTTTTACTGCGAAAAATATACTTTCTATTAAAATGCAACTCCTACAGTAGCGGCTCTCCAGGCCAAATAATTACCAGGGATACAAACTTACAGAGACGCTCCGTTTCCAGCATGACAAACACCTCGTGAACACAACCTGAGTCCACCAAGGTAACAAGATAATACCTATTATACTGTCATATAACAACTTTCCAACTTGGAAGGCTCGTGTGCGGAAAGTTCCAACTTGATGAGGGGAAGGGATGGCATGCGCCACAAAGATGAGCACGAGCTATGTCCCTCGGCAACAAAGAATGTCGAACATTACAGGATGATGATGACGTGACTCAGTGAGTAAGACAATAATTATTATGGCATTGGACAAACTGGTTTAAAACTACAACTCGACGACGCAAGACGGCAACAGACCACCCAACAAAGTTGGGAGGCTCAAAGGTACACGTAGGTCACTTTGAAAATATTTAAAATACATGAAGAGGCGGGGAAAGCCAAGTGAACAGTTCACTGTTGGTGTCCCACAGCACCATGCCATGATCAACATGCAGAACTGCAATTCCTGTGCCTTGGGCATTGCCCTAGAATCTTGATTCATGGTTAGCCCTTTCCCAAAGATGCCCGTCACTTTTTTCGCAACTTTTTCTTGCTTTGGAAGAAATCACAACTTGCGCAACTTTCTTCATTTTCACAAACTACTTCGCAACTCAGTTTCTGCGAACGTGTGCAGAGAAGCGCGCTGGATGAGACCATCGGAGTGTCCGTGAACATGGTTCAACAAGAAGCGCTGAAACATTGCATCCAATCATCATGACAAATGTACGTCTCGAAGCACTGAGCATGACACTACATTGTACATGACTTGATTGGTACATGCATGTCATGAATGCTGTGCAAAGGTTCAACAAAAAGGACCGTGAAGGACTCATTCCACGCCACAGTGTTTTCCATTTCCGCTCCTTTATTGTTGTTTTTGGCATCATTATGCACAAGTACTCGCTCATTTTATTTATTATTATTGATAATTACGGATAGCCCAAAGGCTGGAGTGATTTTGAGTTGCGATATTAGCAACTTTTGAGCTTTTTCTGAAAATATTCAAATTAATATAATTATGGATGCGATTTCAGCAACTTTCACTTGTTTTAGCATGGCTGCGAAAAGCCGCGATAAGACTTACGTCACTAAGTAACGTTAGTTGCGAAATATCATGTTTGGCATCTTTGCCTTTAGGAAAGGGCTATTCATGGTCAAGAACTAACCTGATGACATTCGGACGTCAAGCATTGACCGACTGCCGGTCTCATGTCACTGACCTGTGCCTGACAGTCTGTCCACAGTCACCATAGTCACAGACTCAGTGACCATGGTGACACAGCCTTACTTTCAAACTAAACGGTTACTTACTAAGTCTTGGTCTCTAGAGCTCTGTACACACGTCCAGCTCCATCCCAACTGACAAGCTACTTCTGACTTCTGTACCGTCTTGCAGCGGTAGATCTACGCAGCATTCCTCGCTGAAAAAGTGAAAGAATGTCCTCCTCGATTCTATGTCAGTATGTGGTCGAGCCGTGACATCAGTTTTCGCTGCCATGATGGAGCCCCAGCCAGTGTCAGTACCAGGGGCCAGACAGCGCAAGTACATGTATCCTGAGTATTGCCCACTGCCCAGGTTGACAGGTTGCATGAAGCCGATAGGCGATAGGTTCGGGGCTTACAGCTAGCAGCGGAAAGGAAGAACACCTGGTCGTCCTCCAATACCGGTTGTGCTGGCAGGAAACACAGTTTTGGGAGTTTATATTTTCATCGAGGCCACTATGATTCCGAGCATAGGGAAAATCGGATCAGATAGTCAGCAAACCTTCGGGAAAGGATATTGAGTTCCAGAGAAGCTCAGCGGTAGCGCTGTTCAATCAACATCTTCCCATTCATTGGACGCAGTCGCTAGTCAGACGCTCAGCGGCTGTGTGCAGCAGTTCAGGCCTGCTTTTATGCGGGTAGTGGCCATTGCAACCGCCTCCGGAGCGCCTTGGAGAAATGCCATGCCCTATTCAATGGAAATCCGGCGAACAGGTTCGCTAAAACCAGCAGCACTGGTGGCACTCGTCAGTGTACCCAACGGTCATGGCTAGATCTATTCGGAGACTCTGTGGTGTCAAATTCTTGGGGTCTGCCTTGATCGCGGTGTGGAGTTGCATTACCATCTTTCTTTTCGTATTTTTCTGGAGCGAGTGGGACCACAGTACTGCACGACAGCGCCTAGCTTCATGCGTACACGCACTAAACTCCGAGCTAAACGCCAAAGCACTGCAGACTGATTCAATCTCACAGGGCAATGCAGCCAGAATCAAGCCATGGAGCAGCACCAATGGCTATGCCCAGAGCGTTGCAGATCCGCTCAGGAAGAGTTCTCTAACTACAGGTGCAGATGTGACATTGCTAGCACCTGTGCCTACACCTGACTCCATACTAGATACCAGGGGCAGACAAGCCGCTGATGGACTAACAGTAACAGGGAAAGTAGTGGAGGCTGGGATGTCTGCTGCACGGACACTTCAGACTATGCTTGGTGCTGTGCCACTCATCATGAATGATGGGGTGGATATGTCTATCAAAGCTGAGGCTACTCCTGCAATAGAGCATGATTTAGCCACTCTGTCGCCACCAGGAGCAAGTGAAGCAAATGGCAATATAGCACCACGCCTTAGCTCCGCTGGTGTTGCTGCACCGGGCCAACCTCATGAGCCAAACAACGGCAGAGGAATCCTTACAGCTGCTGCTCGAGTGGCGGGCAGTGTGCCAGGGCTTGCACAAAAAGCAACAGCCAAGAAAGACACTTTTCTATTGACACTAATTCTAAGCGCACCAAAGTACAGAGAAAGAAGGGATGCAGCACGTCTTGTCTGGGTTCAGCCAATGTCCACAAAGAAACTGCAAGCCGCACTGCTACCGATAGCATACAAGTTCATTTGCGGGCAAGCTAGCGAAGAGAGTACTAATGAGCTTCTGCGGGATGAACGAGACATACGGCAAGATATCCTAATCCTAGATGTCGTCGATTCTTACAAAGCCCTGGCAAAGAAAATGCTATGGGGTTTCCAGTGGGCAAGAGACAACGTCCACTTTCAATACCTGATGAAGACAGACGATGACGTCTTCGTCAATATCCATGAGCTGTTCTTTAGCATCTTTCTGCCATTGAATTCGGAGGGACACGTGGCTGGGTACTATGGTGGTCACACAGTTGGTCGCTACAAGGGTAAGGGCGTTGTTGTGAAGCGAAATCCGCAGAGCAAGTGGTATGTGTCGCGCTCCGCATATGGTCCAGATCGCTTTCCACCATACAACCAGGGCCACGGTTATATTCTTTCCATGGATCTTGTCAATCTGACCTTGGCCAAGGCAGCCGGTCGTCAAGTCATACCAGTCGAAGACGCGTACATCGGCATTCTGCTGTACGAAAGTCAAATCAAGCCAGTGCACAACGTGCATATTTATGATCGACTGACCCGCTCAGCTTGCAACGATGACCAAGCAGTTCTCATTGGCTGGGTTCAGCCAGGAGCTCTCAAAACAATGGTCAGTAACAAAAATGAAGGGAGGCCACTATGTGATAGTGTGGATTCCAGTGAGGTTCTTGATGCATGAACCTGGATTGTGTAATGATTGGCAGCTGAATACAGCATTGCAATGCACAGATGATTAACTGTACATTGTAAAATTGTCAATGAGGACGACTCGACTTGAACTCCTAGCACTCCTGCATTGAACTCTCGAGACTCTGGCACACCCTTCTCTCTCAGTTTGTCTGACTGACAAAAGTTAAGGAAGCAGAGTACTGTCTTATACCATTTCTCACTAGCTCTAAACTTATCTGGATATCTTTGTGCACTCCGCACCGTCATCAGGAGTCATTGTTCAGTGGTATTGAAGGTTTGCAACTCCACGATGAATGATAGCTTCATATCAGCTGTACCAGCGTACGGTCACGTGTTCAGGCGAATTTTGCCGATGTGCAGCCAACGAGCTTGCGGAAGCATTAATTGGGCTGGGGCTGCGATTCACAACCACGCACATGGAATCAGATTGCGTTGTTCATCAGCCAATACCTTATCTCCAGATGTCAGTGGACATTATTCATGATTAGCAAGTACAATGTAATATGCCACGATTGATAATTGCGCAGGGAGGGGAGGGGGGGGGGGGAATGCTTCTCCATTTTGCTGTATGTGGCCTTGAAGTTAAAAGAGAATGCAAACCACCAGAAGTACAGCAAAATGCATAAGTGTCCCCTTACAAATACCATTTTCGGGTCTGTACGGGTACCAGAGACAACTTGGAACAGAAAACAACCTTTCCTCTGTGAAATAAAACCGTGCTGTGACCACCCGGAGGTTTTTGACGATACGAGACCATAGTATACGAAACGAAGTACGTTCGACCCAGGATTTGGAATATCCGCGTAAGCCTGGGATGTGTAGCCTTGACCTGCTGACCCCAAGTGTGGTCCAGACTTTTGTAAGGGTGCCGTCTGCAAGCGCTTCTACAAACCCGCATCACCCACGTTCCAGCCTCGGTCCCCTGTGCCCACTAGTGCAGTGTCAGCTGTGTTCGTTGTCAAGGTGATGTAATCAATGGCTGCTTGTTTGATCCAACATACCCGCTATGTCACAAACCCTCCTCCTCAAACAAACTTGGCCAAAGGTTAACGGTAATACCAAGACCGGCTTTAGAATCATTCGGAAGCTTCGTTCGTTAACGAAAGGAATGTGTGACCTTCGTTCACCCCAACTTCAGAGTACAGTATGGAGTCTCAGTGGTATTACCATGATTACAGAAAAGTAGTCCATCGCTTACTACAGTACTGCCCAATGAAATCCAGTCGCATCACACAAGTATGCGCCGGGCGTTGGCGTTGCGCAGCCGACCTGCGAACACGGGGCTGCGTATTGGTGCAATGTGCAAACTTGAGTGGCGCGACTGGATTTTATTGAGCTGCTCAGCAGCACTGTAGTACATGTATTCCCCCCCCCCCCCCCCCCCCCCAATGCAGCAGCACCAATCACCCACCAGCCGTGCCATTATAACCGTCTACAGACCAGGGCCCTGAGTACGAGTACGACTCGTATATATTACAGTACTCCCTGCTATCAAGAGTAGATAAACACTGTTTATCTACTCTTGCTGCTATTGCCGGAGCATGCAAACAGGAGGCACTCACCACAGAGTAATAGTAACAACCAGGAAGTACTAAAATACCTTTTTTAGTACTCCCTGATAGCCACTCCCTAAGGCTACTGATAGCCACTACTGTGCACTCCCTGCACTGCCCAAGTCAGGGCAAAACCCACGACCCAGGTTATGACTTGGCTGCACTCGTTAGTCGGTGCCTCGGCGGCCTCTTCCACAGTTCCAGGTCTAACCAGGGTCTCCTCCCTGGTTAGACCCAGGGTAGATCTACGTGGCGATCGCACGAGTGCGAGGGCTACCCGGCCGGGTTCTCCCAGATGCTGTTTCAGTTGAAGGGAAACTCGAAAATAATACTTTATGCTGTCAATCTGAATGTGAACCTCTTTCAATCTGGAATGCAGGTATTTTTTTGAAGACGGAAGGCGATCGCGAGGAACACTTATGATTTTCTCTTTGTCAGTTTTGGGAATTGTTTGATGAGGGTGGTCAGTGGGAATGGATGTCAGTGTCTATTCTTAGTCTCATACAGAAACACTGACTTCAGTTGTGTTCAGTTGTAGTAATTATTGCTAAGGGAAATCAATAGTTTGCCATGGCATCCGACGGGAGCGTAGACTCCGGGCTGAACTCAACAACTTGCACGGAAGCTTCCACGAACAGTATTGCTTCAACGGATGGGTCTGATGACGAAGAGGTGTGCTATGTAATGTTGGTAATGTTGGTATCTCTTTTGTAAGCATCTGAAAATGGGATGCACCACACGTATAATGACATGAACACATAGGTCATCCATGATACTGATAGCTGTGACTGGAACAAGAGCTGGACTGCTAGGATACTGTTACGTTCAAACATTCGGTAACGTTCAGCCGTACTAGTGCGGACGCACATGAAGCTCCAGAGAGTTGACTTCACAGCGAGCTTTGATCCACGAGCACACAACCGTTCTCATTCGGGTACATGCTGCACAGTATTAATTAAAGTTACCAACCAAGTCCGATAATTGATTACAAATCAATCCCGGTTGGTGCTGTATTCAATATGAGCAGCCGATCGAAAAGTGCGGCGTACTACTTAACCGTGGGCATCCGGCCCCAAGTGATGTACATTAGACTGTATTTACAGCCCTTTTATGACATTAGGCTGTATTTACAGCCATTTTATAAAATGTGATTTACATGTACACTGTATTGGAATATTTCTTGGTGACTGTGTACTGTATGCAGCAGTGGAGGCGACTTCAGCAATACATGTAATTGTTGAATAGGTTGGTTGCTGTCTGCTTCCTACCAAATTGATTTGACACTCGACTGACTGATGACTGTCATGCGGAGCACACCAGAAGCTTGTCAACACTTTTACTTGACAAGCCTTCTAGAGAATACCACTCCCTGCTCAATGCACAGTCTTTCAGGAAATCTACCCATTATCAGTTCTAAACGTTAAAGGGGAAGTTAAGGCAAAAATCAAAATTTCACCAGTTGTAGTCTTCGGGGTGCTGAGTCGAATGGTCTTGGTCCGAGAAAGGTGAGACGCTCCCTTCCTACTTGAATCCCAATCGAACTCGCGCACTTCCACCGAAACTGGGTGACTG